AAAAAAAAAAAAAAAAAAGGAAGTTCAAGGGCACCTGGCTGGCTCAGTTAAGCGTTGGACTCTTGATTTTGGCTCAGGTCATAATTTCAGTTTCGTGCCCTGCTTGGGATTCTTGCTCTCTCTGCCCCTCCTCTGCTCTCTCTCAAAAAAATAAACTAAGAAAAAAAAAGTTCTCAAAATCCCACCTTCCACCTTCAATTTGGTGTCATTTCTCCAAATGCACTTTCCAATGGTTTCTAATAATATATGATGCCCCCCACCTTTTAAGGTTTTCTACACAAAAACGATTTTATGCTGCTTTACAACTTGAAAAATTTAGTAATTGGGGTGAACTCTTAGCCTCTTGCTGGGTTTTTCCAATTCCATAAGCATTCAATGCTGAAATCAGTTTACTACCTATTTTAAGGTGGGGGGAGACAGGCAGAAGGAGAGAGAATTCCAAGCAGGCTCTACTTTCAGCACTGAGCCTGATGTGGGGCTTGACCCTGTGACCTGAACACTCTAAAGATCTCGAAATAAATAAACGAAGGCTAAAAAATTCTTTCCTTCTGGGTTCATCACCTTGTTTTTCTTTGGTCCTGAAGACTCTGCCTATTTGGGGTCTGCTATTATGGCAGGGTTTCATACCTAATTTGTTTCCTTTTTGAAGAATTGGTCTTTGATGAATTGACCTACTTCTTTCTGTAATCCAGGGGTAAGTTCGAAACCTTGGCCAGCCAGGCCCCGACCCTTAGAGTAGACACAGAATTGTGGCAGTTTCACACAGAGTAGACTGCCACACCACAATTTTGCAAGCAAAAGCTACACAGCACTAGTCGCTTAGAAGTATCAATTGACTAGTAAGAATATTCAGACTGAAGTTTGAAATAAAAATCAGAAATAGTAAAAGAGAAGATAAACTTATTTTTATTGCATATAACCTTTAGTTAAAGGTCATGCAATCTAATAACTGGTTCATCCATGGAGATCAGAGTAAATGAAGAGTCCTGGGTATTTAAAAAAAAAAAAAAAA